ATTCATGTTAATCTCTTTTTAAACAACACAAAAACTGAGTATGGTTCCGTATGGCTTCAACCCCAGCAAGCACAACATAGGTAGAGACAGGTGGATGCCAAATAGTTCCCAACCACCGTGGTCTTTGTAGTGAAGTCTAGGTTAGCCAGGGCTGCATACCACTTAAAATAAATAAATAAAACAAAAATCAGTGTGGAGGATTAGAGCGGCAGGCAGTGTTCAACACTGTGGCCATTCATGTCTTCTTTGGGGTATTTAGTACTCCATGATCAGGAATAAGTTTACCATCAAACAGAAATTATTTTATTTATTTACTTATTTATTTTGGTTTTTTGAGACAGGGTTTCGTTATAAAACTTTGGTGCCTGCCTGGAACTCACTTGGTAGATCAGACAGACATTAAACTCACAGAGATCTACCAATATCTGCCTCCTGACTGCTTAGATTAAAGGCATGTGTTACCACTGCCCAGCTCAAAGAGAAACTCCTTGGTTGTGGTTTCTCCCAGCCCTGACGTGTAGGTGTAGACTTCAACACCTTTAAGATTAGCTTGGCCATCTGAACCCCATGACACATTATTTAATGAAATAGAAACAGAATTCTATTTCATAATGGAGGAACCTGACTGTTCACACTCACAGAAAGTCTGAGCAAGAATTTGCACAAAAATCATTGGGGAAAACATTCTCCCTCCATGAGATTTGTGGACATGGGGGTGAAGGGAATCCTACTGTCGAGCATGAACACATACCCTGAGTCGAAGATCACTGTGGGCAGTCTGGGTAGGAGGAAGATTCAGCTCTCTCTTTACAGGTTGTATCTTAAGCCCAAACATGTGATCTTCCACAGGGCCATATCATTCTGTGGGCCCTGTGAGCTGGCTGAGATCTCTGAGGGTAAATGACTCTCAACTGTCTTCTCTACTCTTTATCCACAGAGCCAGTGACTACACCCTCCATTCACGTTGGCAACACCACAATCAAAGAACTGGACTCTGTGTCCCTGAACTGCTCCTCAAACGACACTGGGATCTCCATCCATTGGCTCTTCAATGGCCAGAGTCTGGAGCTCACAGATAGAATGAAGCTGTCCCTGGACAACAGCACCCTCAGCATAGACCCTGTCAGGAGGGAGGATTCCGGGAAGTATCAGTGTGAGGTCTCCAATCCAGTCAGTTCTGAGAGGAGTGACCCCATCCAGCTGGACATAATAGGTGAGTGACCTCTCCTCCCTTCTTACCCCATAGTGTTGGGGGTGGGGCAAACTTTTTTTCAGAAGTGTCCAAAATGGGTAAATGTCACCAGGAGAAAAACAAGATGAAGATTCAAATACAGCCCGGTGGTAGTGGCACATGCCTTTAATCCCAGCATTCAGGAGGTAGAGGCATCAGATATCTCTGTGTTTGCGGCCAACCTGGTCTACAAGAGCTTGTTCCAAGACTGGCACCAAAGCCAAAGCTACAGAGAAACCCTTTCTCATAAAATAAAAAAAAAGATTCATATACAGTAATTATCTTAGTGATAAATGCATGTTAATCTCTTAATGAAAACAAAACAAACTGAGAATGGTGCTGAACACTTTGAACATCAGGCTGCAAACCAGAGGCAGAGACAAGGGGACAAGTCTCTGAGTTCAAAATCTCCATGGTCTTTGTAGCGAGCTACATGATATCCTTGGCTGCATAGTGAGACCTTCTCTCAAAAAAAAAAAAATCAGTAAGGAGGATTAGAGATGCAGGCTGTGGAAAACACTGTGGCCACATATGTCTTCTCTGTTGTATTTATCCCATCTCCATATAGCAGGAAATAACTTTAGCTTCAAATAGAAATTCTTTTTATTTATCTATTTATTTTGGTTTTTGGAGACAGGGTTTCTCTGTGTAACTCTGACCATGAGATTTGTAGACATGTGGGCTAAAGGGACTCCTAGTGTGGATCCTGCACACATACCCTGGGGCAAGCGTCACTGTGGGTGGTCTGGATAGGAGGAAGGTTCAGCTATCTCTTTACAGGTTGTATCTTGAACCCAAACATGCGATCTTCCA